GGCCCGTGGGCCGCCAGTTCGACACCCCTGCTCTAAGACAATGGTTCTCAAATATGAGCATGTATCAGAATCACCTGCAGGGCTTGGTAAACTATAATATAAATTGCTGTGCCCCACCCCCAGTGTATCTGATTCACTAAGGTCTGGAGTAGACCCCCAGGATTTGCGTTTCTAACAAACCCCCAGGTGATGCTGATGCAGGTGGTCCAGAGACTACAGCTGGAGAAGCACTATCCAAAAATAACTTGGAACACATCAAACACCCTGTCTCCTCAGAGGGCATGACACAGCAAACCAGAACTGCTGAGAAAGATGGCATCTTCACATAACTTGAGACAGACACAGGCCTTCCCAAGTCTGTTCCAAGCAACCTTTAGAGAGCAAGGTCTCTGGGATACATTTAGAGCACTCAAATCTGATGGAACTGGTCAATGAGATGAAACCAATCTGGACCTCAAGGGGAACTGGACCTCAGCCCCACACTAAACCACCCCACCTCCCAGTGGGGCTGTGGGGGAACAGCTCTATAGCTTGACATAGGCCTGTATTTAATGTCTCAAAACCAAGCACCATCCACATTATCGCTTGACATGTCTCATTCAATGTCTGGAGTTCATCAAACCACTCCTAACCTGGCACTGAACCAAAGAATGTGTAACACTGTGTCATTTCACCAACTGTAATTTGTAAATGTATAACCACTACCCAATGACGACCCCCAAACCCACACCCAAATACATAATAAGAGCCCATGAGATGGTCACAATGAGAATGCTCTAATGACCCACTAATCCCAAAACAGTCACCACAGAGGTCCCCTGTTCACGTCTGCCCATCTTGAAATTTGTAGGAATACAAAAACTTGTTATAAGGAAACAGCACAGGTGACTAGAGGCAAGATGCATATTATACCCTCTAGCTGTTGAGATGTCACTGTGAGGTGTTTTTTTAGTTGTGATTAACATTTAAACAGTAGACAATGAGTAAAGCAGATTACCCTCCACAATGTGGATGGGCCTCATCCAATCAGTTGAAGGCCTTATGAGAAAAAAGATTGACCTCACCCAAGGAAGAAGGAATTCTGCCTCCAGACTGCCTCTGGACTCAAGACTACAACATCAATTCTTCTGTGTGTCCAGACTGCCAACCTGCCCTGTAGATCTGTAGATTTCAGGCTTAGCCCCCATGATTGCATGAGTCATTCTTTAAAATAAATTTCTCTCTTTCTCTCTCTCTCTCTCTGTCTCTCTCTGTCTCTCCCCCACCCCACGCCCCCGCTCCATATATATACATGTACATATAATTCATCATTATCAAGTAGGTACACAAATTGTGAACAGCAATTGTGACAGGACTGCCAACTACTACTGGTTCTGTTTCTCTGGAGAACCCTGACAAATGCAGCCCTCTAGAGTTCACAATCTCTGTCCTGTACTTGGCAAAGATCAATGACCTCCATCTTTCTAAAAGAAAAAAGTTCTCCTTTCACTTTTAAAATGAAGACTGCCTTTTAAAATGTACTAGACTGTAATGACACATATTCTATACCACTATACATAAAATTCAACCAACCAGTTTGGACTGATTGAACAAACACCTTCACTGTGGTATAAAGTATACAATTAGAATGTGATTTCCCACAGTGAGCAGAAACTATGAGAAAGAGTCTAGAAACTGACATCTTACCAAGCATCCATCCTGATTCAAACGCTCTTTGGAATCCATACTAAGCTTCCTCTTCCTGTTGAGCTGTTGCATTGCCACTTTAGCACTCCTTAGCAGTGTTTTTCTGAAAAACAGTGCCATATAAAAAGTTGAGAAGTTTTTTCTTTTTAAATAGACTTTATTTTTTGGAGCAGTTTTAGGTTCATATCAAAACTGAGTGGGGTCGGCCGAGTGGCGTGTTGGTTAACAGCTGGCTTGGGATGCCAGCTCTGAGCAGCAGGGCCCCGGTTTGGATCCCACATGAGGGCCAGTGACACTGTGCCCTCTACAGCTAAGATGGTGAACAACAGCTTGACCTGGAGCTGGGCTGCCATGAGTTGCCGGCGATGGCATAGGCTGCAGCAGGGCTGCAGTGGGCTGCCATAAGCTACCATGAGTGGCCGGCAGCCAGTGTGAGCGGCCGGCAGCTGGCATGAGCTGCCATCCAGAGACCGGAGACTGATCTGTCTCATTTGGGAAGAGCGCAATGATAATACCAACAAGGAAGCGACATCCTCCACAACTAGACTGAAGAACAAAAGGATAGCAACTTGTCTGTTCCCCTTCCCCGATTCCCCAACGCTGTTCCCCTGCCCCAATTCCCCAATTTAAAAATCTTTAAAAAAAAAAAACTGAGTGGAAGGTACACAGTGTTCCCATATTACCCATTTACATACACCAACTGCCCCCACTATCCACATCCCTTACCAGGGTGGGACATTTGTTACAATCAATGGACCTTCACTGACACATCATTATCACTGGAAGTCCATGATTTACATTAGGGTTCACTCTTGGTGTTGTATGTTGTATAGATTTGGACAAATATATAATGACATGTACCTACCATTACGGTTTCACACAGAAGCGTTTCACTGCCCTAAAAATCCTCGGTGCTCTGCCCACTCCTCTCTCCCTCCCCCTTTAACCCCTGGCAACCACTGATCTTACTGTCATCATAGTTTTGCCTTTTCAAGCATGTCATACATTTGGAATCACACAGTACATAACCTTTTCAGATTGGCTTCTTTCACTTAGTAATATGCATTTATATTTTCTCCATGTCTTTTCATGGCTTGATAGTTCTTTTTTTTTAAGATTTTTATTAAAATAGAGCTAACAAATAAATAAATAAATAAATAAATAAATAAATAAATAAATAAATAAATAAAATATGGTTAACATACAATATTATATTAGGTTTAGGTGTACATCATAGTTATTCAACAGTACCTACCTGGCACTATAAATAGTTATTACCATATATGCTGACTATATTCCCTATGCTTTACTTTATATTCCCACAAGTTGAGAGGTTTTTGTACCTTTAGAATCACAAAAACAAATCAAGAAACATGCTTTCAATATTTATAATTGGTTGCCATAAATATTCTAATAAATGTGCTGACATAAGAATAGCACTGTTGATTTTATAGCTCCTAGTATTATAATTGAGAAAAGAGATGAGTTTTCTACCTCATCTAGAATTTACATCACACCAAAAAATAGGTATTATCTTTTTGGCCTTATCTATCATGAAATTTTTTAATTTTTACTTAGCTGATCTAACCAGTTGGGTTTTGTTACAATCTGCCTGTACAGCTTCTGTACTCACATGACCTGACTGTCCACAAGTGCCAAGCCAAGGTATTCTTGGTAAGAGGTCTTAACCATACAAGGCATAACACAGTAATCTGGAACAAAGAAAATGAAACAAAACTTACCAATCCAAGTTATCATGACCATTATTCCGTACATTAATAAACAGTAGTGCATATTCTTTGAAAAGTTATTTGGAGTGAGTTTTTTGATAGAGCAGGTTAACCACTTTGGAAAACAAACCACTAGTACTGCACAAGTGCCATTGAAGCTATAATTCAAAAAGTCATTTGTTCACTTTGAATACTTTTAACTGCAATCAACATGTAATTTTAAAATGTTTAATAATCTAATTCCTCTATAGTTCCCAATATTTTAGAATCATATATCCAACGTCTTCCCTGATATTTCTACCTGAACAAATGACCTTAAATACTACAAACTGAACATATTCACAACCGAGTTCATTTCCCTTCTCACTGCCTCCCAATTCTACTTTCTTCCTAGTTGGCACTAATGACACCATTGGCTACCCATTTGCCCAATATGTGCCCCTTACAGTTATTCAGACTGTGCACTGCACAAGAGCACCAAGCCAAGGGGCAAATGGAAACTGAAATCTACCCTGGGCTCTGCACACGTGCCATTTTCCATGCCACAGGATTACTACATCTCCAAGGAAGAAAATGCATCTTTTTCTAATTCAAAGACACCTTTCTTGCAACCCTGACTTTACCTGAGCCAGAGACCTAGGAGTTACCATCATTTCATCCTTTGATCCTTTACATCACACCTCATACTCTGTCACCAGGTTCTGCTGATTTTTAATCTAGTAAATATGTCTTGAATTCATCTTCTCCTTCTATTCTCACTAACTCCCTGACCACCTCCAATCATATGCTGCAGTCAATCCACAGGTTTTGCACTCCTCTGGGACACTACATACCTGCAGCTTCTCAGTCCCATATTTTTGCTGGTCCCTCAACCTTGGAATACCTTGCCTACTACTAAACCCGCCCTTTTTCAATCTCTCCAACTCTTACTCTTTCTTTATGCTTCAACTAAAAGAGACTTCACATCCTTGAGGAAAGCCTTCCTTGCTTACCTCCTGCTCCCAACGGACCAGGTGTGTCTTGCCTAAAATTCATTGTACCTGTACTTATCTTCGCCAAGCATTCAACACTTTATACTACATTTTTTGTTTGTAGTATGTCTCCCTTTATAAGCATCCTGATGACAAGAATTTTGATACTGATCCTTATTTTCCATTGTCTAGATAGTAGTTGGCTCACAGCAGACTCTCAATATGTTTGTTCCCCTGAACAGCATAAGCACATCTCTGAATTACAGAGGTGCCTCAAAGCACCTAAGTCCAATGAATATTAGCTCTTGATCCATACATTAATCCTTTTAGAATACTGTATGACTAGAGCCAGCATAGGTCTCAAACTTAACAACAACTTTCCCTTTTTCTTTCATATATAAAACAAACAAACAAACAAATGACCCACTTCTTCATTTCCATTTCCTTCTAGCCAGATGATATTAATGTCCTTAAGACAAGTACTTACCTACCAAATTTAATAATATCACATTCATTTTGTAGGATGTAAATACAATTTATCATACCTAGCTCCCAGTAATTTTCTGAACATCTATGCAGATGAACAGCTTAGACTTGATGCCTTTAGCAAAGTATGATTGCATAAGACATAAGCACTGCCAAAGCTGGCTTGCATTTCACAACTAATAATACCCCATGGCTTGTCAAACTGAAATCATCTGGCTATTGAAGATTTTTCTCCTCGCCATTAAGGTGATCTATTTTGCTAATCCCTGGTAATTATCTCAATAACTCTGGCTTGTTTTTTAAAAACAAGGAAGCCTAAATTTAGATTATTATGTATTGGAAAAAATGAAATTATTTTACACTAAGAAGTTTCAAAATACTATTTAGTAACAATTGAATTCCCTTTAGATATAGAAATATTAAAGCAGCAACACAAAAAGTATCCAACAGCCCATATAAGATTTTACTGCCAGACAAAAAAGGAATCAAATACGATATTCCATCAAATATAATACTAGGGAGATGGATGATATGTACCGTATTTCCCCATGTATAAGACGCTCCCATGTATAAGACACACCTTAATTTTGGGGCCTGAAATTTGAAAAAAATGTATTACATAAGGTTATTGAACTCAAGTTTTAGTCATCATAAAATTCATACAACTCCTCATCACTTGCAGGAAATGCAAGTAAAATAATCTACAACCACTGTATAAGATGCACCCAGTTTTTAGACCCCCAATTTTTTTAAAAAGGGTGCATCTTATACATGGGGAAATATGGTAGATGATGATAGCTAGCTAGGTAGGTAGCTGGTAGACAGGCTGACACAGAGAAAAACTGACAGGGAAGCTTTATATAGTTCCTTCAAATGTTAATTCACAGGATGTATTCTAACCAACCAATTAGAACACTTATTTAGATATACATTCAACCTGATATCCTTGGGACAGTATCAAAATATATACATTATTCTGATTGTCCATGATACATTATCTACTCCCAAGGGGGCCCTAAATGTCACATCAGCCACATGCCTCCTTGTTGAGTTTTGAAAAATTAAAAAATTTGAGAGCCAAGGAAGAATAACATCAGATTCTAAAACACACTATAGAAACATATCATCAAGGGGAAGTAAAGGTGAACAGTGGCTGGGCAGAGGTGCACCCCAGTATACTGTGGCTTTGTAACAACACCCAAGCAATAACTATAATAGACAAGGTTATTTTTAAGTGCTTTTAAGTAAATAACCTTCTACGTATATTTTTAAAAAACAAGACCAATAAATATATGTAGATAATTCACATTTCTGCAGAAAATTTGGAAATAGTGCATTGATATTGCAAATTAATCCACTTAATCAGTTTGATTTCTCTTCATGTTAGAACTGTGTTTGCACATTGCCAAACATCTGTCTTACTGACCTTCTAATTAAGCAGACAAATTAGATTGTTATTTAGAAAGCATATGAACAATTTCAATACTTCAAATTAAATAATTCTATAAATAAAAATAATTCACTGTCTGCCTATTTTCAGTTGCTTTTTGGTAATTCTTTTGAAAATATTTATTGACCACCTATTATCATCAAGACAGTCACGGGTACTCTGCAGAATATAAGGATGATTTATCAGACACTCTAGAAAGGGAAATAAGTAAAGTAGCCATATAGCCTTGATAACCCAGGATAGTTCTGCCTTCTGCCTCCCATCCTGGCATAAGTATTAATATCACTGCCTTTCACTCCCCAAAAATGTTCCAGTTTAAACAATAAATCGTATGGTTACTGTATGGATAAGAAACATACATAAATTAACAAGAAATATAACGCATGCCATTAAAGAAATACAAATGGGTAATTCACATGGTGTTCAGAGGAGTGAGAATATGTCCAACACAGAACAGAAAATGCAATATGAAAGAATATTTCAGCTGCTTCTAGGATGTTGCCTAGAATTTAAAGTGTATTTAGCACCAAAATATTGAATACAAATATCTGACTATTACATTGATTTCCCATTATTTCAAAGATGTTGCCAGGATAAAATGTATTTATCCAGTTGATACTCAATGTTAATAATACATAGCAGTGGGTGTTTGAATAAATTAATAAATGATTACAATTGAATGCATTTTGACAACTGCTGCATGAACTACTGCTCCCACTTAATAACTCACATTACCTGAATACTCATATACAACCTAGCATAGCCATAATTCCTCTGCATACAGACTATCAATTAATACTTATTAATATTTATGACAACATAACCTTTTCAAAGCCATTATCACCTGCATTTTACAGATGAGGAAACACTGAGGGGCTAAATAACTTGCCTTAGGTTACACAACAAATAAGTACCCAGGCAGTACAATTTGAGAGCCCTTCCTTTAAACACCACACTATGCCATCAGTTTAGTTATATGACACTTAACCATTCAGGTACACTAGCCAAACTCTTGCCACATACAACAATCTAAGTAAGAAACTGACACTAAAGTTCCTGTGAAAAACCCCTGGCCCTCCTGTAGAGCTTATCTCTATAGGTTCTTTGTATTGTCACTTTACTTACATCAGAGCAGACACCTACTCCCATAATTTTTTTTAAACTTCACTTTTATTATATATGTTGGAATCTTAACAAATGAGCAGCAACCATGTATTAATGTGCACTGATGTGTCTTATACAATGGTTTATAATAATAGAACAGGAAGTCCCAAGATTAAAGGTCCAAAGGGTATCACATGGGGTTGTCTGAAACTCAAAATATTATAAACAGTTAACATTTGCTAGATATTTCTTCAAATCTGAGTCCTTTCTTTCACCAGTGCAGCTATAATAAACTCAGATAATCAGAAACATATTCTGTTCTTCCCTCCTTCCTCCTCCCCCTCCCCATCCTCCTCCTCTCCTCCTCTTCTTCTTCTCTCTCTCTCTCTCTCTCTCTCTCACACACACACACACGCACACAACAGCAAAAGTACCAAAGACACATGTCCCAGGGAACATAAGCATAGCAATAAGTCTAATAAGCCTGTTTTAAGGCCTACCTGTCCGAATTCTTTCTAGAACATTTTATACTCCATTCAAAAGTATCTTGAAGTTAACATAAATAAACATTTCTCGCTACCTCCTTATAAGACAGTATCTCTTAGGAGGTTTGGTCCATACTGAGGTCTTAAGCCAACTAAGTTTCTAAAAATCCATTTTTGAGAACTTCCTGCCAAGAACGCATTGTATATCCTTCCTTTAAGACACCTCTTTGCTGTAAACAGAGAACAAAGTCATTAAAATATACACCAAATAACTATTGTTAACCTGCAGCAAGTTAAAAACAAAGTGGCAAGTGAGGCTAAAGCTTTGAGTCTTGTGGGCTCCAAAGCAAAAAAAGGCGGAGCCAAGTTAGGAGTCAAAGGATCAACATAAGATGGGTGTTGGAGCCAGGTTTACCCTTGAAGCCAAGAGGTGGCAGAAGGCTCCACCAATCATGAATGGAAGCCAAACTGAACTTCAGCCTCAAG